AGTAAGAGCTCTGAATTGGAACTGTCACAATCTGAACTCATACAAGTTCGTGAGTCTATTGAGGCGGCCAAATCGGGAGAAAGCGCGTTGGTACTGGCTAAGAAAAATGAGTTCAACGAAATCACAAAGGCTTTAGCAGAGTATGTAGCTATATATGTTCATAATTCGCTATCAGACTATTACAGAGCTCGTGAACAGGTTTTGGAAAATGGGAAGCAGTTACTGACATGGAAAGAAAAAAATGACTTGAATAAGGCTGAGCTTGAAAAGTACTAGGATCCTCGCACAGTGATTTGAAACTGTCATTGTAGGTTGAGAGCAGAAAATACGTCTTTGGCTACAACCTTAGCGAGTAATAACTCCAAACTGGAGCTGTCGCAGTGTGAACTGACACAAGTTCTTGAGGATATAGAAACAGTAAGATCGACTGAGGAAGCAATTAGGAAAGAGCTTGAATATGCAAAGATCGAGGTTGCAAAACAGCAAGCCAAAGTGGCAGAAATATCAAAAACTTTGACAGAGTTTCTAAAGTTGATACTCAGTTCATTATTATTCTTAATTTAAGAACTGGGAAATCGAATGACGCCACATGTACCACAATTCCCGAAACATCAATGCGTCAAAAACTGTATGCTTCGTTAGTATGTCACTTTACAGTCATTAATTTTCTAGGGAAATTTTCAACGAGTTAGAGGCTAGCTTGCGAAAAGAAAACAAACTTCTATCTGAAAAAATCGTTGAAGTTACAGATGAACTTAAAAAAACAAAGGAGACCACAAGAGATTCTGAGATAGTCGCTTTCGAAAATCAAGTCTGAATGAAAACAACGGTAAATGTCTGTAATATTTATTTCAGATTAAATTTCTCAACTCAATAATTGCTCAAAAACAAGAAAAAGAGAACCATCTCATGCAAGAACTCCAAAGAAAGGAAAAAATTAGTTATAGAAAGTTAGTATTCTACGGATATGTTTATTCATACTCAAACTGATATTCAGAGAGAGCCAAATTTGCAAAGCAGAAACTAGGCCGAGAATGTATTGCGACATATGCGAAGAATTTGATAAGCATGAAACTGAAGATTGCCCAACTCAGGTATATATACTATTATCATGATCGCTATCTTACCTTTTATAGTTAATGGAGGAATCGGATATTGCCGAGCATTCACACTATTCCTCAAGTTCTACGAAAGTGAAACCCCCTCCTAGAGAATATTGTGATAATTGTGAAGGTAGTCTTCTCTTGCTGTCTGTACACCGTGTCTTTTCTTCAGAGTTTGGTCATGATACCAGCGCTTGTGAGAAAGCCAAATCTAGAAAGGACTACACTTTCTGATTGGACAAAATTCTTTCATGTGATAGAAAAACGCGGGTACTATGTTATTTCAAAGGTACTGTTTATGCTCATATCTAAGAACTCCTTATCGTTTCAGCAAACATAACTTCTACATGTTATAAGTTGGGCTCAACTGTTCATGCTTCATTTCTTTGCGTTCCTGAATAATCTTTCTCTGTAATATTTTTGAATAATAATGGTTACCTATTCATCAAAATCACTAGTTTCTGGAGGCATGTATCTATCATTTTCTTTGATAAAGTTATATAATGTCTCTAAACCGGAATCATAAGCCTCCTTATTCACTATATTATGGAAGTTGAATGAAATAGAGAATAACATTTTTATAATGTGGTGTAATTGATAAGCCCGCGCGTAACCAATTCGATCGAGAGTTACCTTGGAATCTGTGTTATTCCAGAAGACAGATGCAAGTTCTTTTCGGATACGGCTTTCCAGAACTCGAAATTCGAGGTATCATGACCAAATTTTTTTTTATCTCGTCAGTAGCGATGAAATGACATGTAGATAACATTTGGAAGGTCTCCGCTCCGAGTTGAAAAGACATTTAGAGACTTTTCGTAACAACACAGCCGAACAGCCTACCAACCCAATATCTAAAATTCTATTCTTATGGGAAGACAAGGCTTCTTAAAGTTAAATAATAAAGAATGATTGCGTATATTCCGTGAACTTCTGTTTTGTGTTGATCACTCGATATCATTGACTATAGCGGACTTTCAAGAGTTTTAAACAGTTCGTAATTAATTTCTTTCATTTATGATTGTTGCCTTCTAAACTTTCACATAGGAATATTTCAGGCTTATGCCGAACATGCAAGCGTAGCAAGCTCAATTGGTTCAAGAATCGTTCGAAGTTCAAACAGTTGCTCATTCGAATTATTGTCACAACTAAAAACTATTGAAAATCGATACAAATAATACTTCAGAATATCAGTTAGTTTTTCTCGTCTGCCACTCAATGTAGTCTGCACTCGTAGAGGGGTTTGTCTTCCAACCGTTTTCTGGCAAATTCTAGAAATCAGTGGAGATATTGATTACTTTTTGACATCCAAGGTTTCTTGGATAAATTCGTTTCAGCTTTTTTTTTCAAATCTTAGTTTGATCCTGCTTATTGTCGATCCACAAACCTTCCGAAACTTTTAACGGGTCATAACTGTGTTATTGATTTCTAGAGAGCGGAGTGATATGTGTTTCCCTCTCGATTCAAATGCTATATAAGACGTTTTCTATCTCTTGCGAGCTTCTCTGATTACTGTGAATGCTTTTTCATCTCTTCCCTGTAGCGCAGTTCATTTAATGTTTTCTGTTTTGTCTGAGGTTTTTGATAGTTTCTATGTATTTGCTTGTGCGAGCCTCGGAGCCTCTTTATGGTTTGTGTTACCTCCTCGTTCATCATCATGAGATACCTTTGAAACAAATCCTTGCCTAGCAAAGCGCTGAGAGAACTCGATTTGAGCTTCAACTAGTACCACCTATATGCGAGTACTAGAAAGATTATCGTTGTGCTAACTCTGTCCTTGTAACCTAAGTCATCTGGAGCATTTATTTGAAAT